ATATATTTAATAATATATTTATTATATTTATTAAACAATTTTTTTATGTTTCATTATTTTTTATTTTATTTAAATTTGCTAAGATTTTTTAATTATAAATATTGTTTATTAAATTTATATGTTTGGAGTTTTGTTTGAAGTTGTTTAATATCCTCTTCTACACATGCAAAAATACATGCAAATATGATAAATATTCAAATTACACATAGAGCAATAAATTATTTCTTGCAAGATGCCTTTCGCGATATTATTAACATGTTATTATTAACATGTAATTAATGCATAATATCAAGAATTAATATTAATCTTATTATTGTTAATTAAAATGTTTCATCTAATATTTTTTTCATTTTTGAAAATATATTGAAATGTATTGAAATATATTGATACTTTTTAAATAAAGTAAAAAATTTTATATAATCTTTCTAAAAATTCAAATAATTCAATTTAAAATAAAAATGATTCGATTTATTTGTTTTAAGAAATAATAGAGATAAACAAATGATAAAGTTTTAGATCTCTCAAAATTGTGAATCTCTCAATATTTTGAAATGTTAGATAAATTATAAGAAAGATAAAATATTTATTATGAATAATTTTATTATGAATAAATAATAGAACGTCATAGATAATGATAGATAATGATAAAAAATTAAAGAAAAAAATCTGTCTGTTTTTATGGATTTAAAATAGTTTAATATTATATTAATTATAATATTGCCATTATGCTTTTCTTATCCTTTAATTTTTGTAACAAATGTAAGATTAAATTTAATATATATTAATTAATTTCATAGGTCGAAATATAAAATAATATCAAATTTTAATTCAATGTATTTAAAAATACATATATTTTTTTTAATATTTTTAGAAATTTTTAAAATCGAAAATTCATCAGTTTCTTTTATCACAAAACTAATCTCTTGTGTATATTGTAATATCGAAAGTTTTTCAAATGAAATGGTAAATATTTAAGAATGTATTAGATTTAATTTCAAACTTTTCAAAAACATAAGACATATTTTTAATATTCTTAAACTATTAGAGAAATGAATCTTTTCTTATCACTATTTTTTATTATAAATTTTTTATGTAAAAATAAAATAAACATCATATTTGAATTCATGTCAAAAACTTTATTTTTCATCTCTCTTTGTATTACCAAGAATATAAAAGATACATTCATATTTTTCTCAATCATTGTATGTATTTGTATGTATTTATACACATTCATTCGGTTACTTTTGTTTGCATAAGTGTTATAATGTATAAGTGTTACAATGAAGAATATCTTTATATTATATTATATTATATATATTATATACAGTTGACATATATAGAAGTATTAAGAATTATAATAATAATGAGTAATATTTCAGATTGAAATATTTTACATACTTTAAAATAGTAAAAAAAAATATATCTTATTTAGAAAAATACAATTGAATAGAAACTAATTACATTAGATAATTAATGTCTTTTTGTTTTTACAAAATTATATATCAGTGAAAAAAAATTAACAAAAAATTTACTTTTAATAAATATTTTATTTTATAATAATATTATAAATTATTTAAAAATAAAATAATTCATTCATTCAAAATATATTAAAATATCGTTCTTTTGTTCATTGAATGATATAAAAGAATGCTAACATAAAAAATAATAATATAAAAACAGTAAAATTAAATCTATTAAAGTTTTATAATTATAATAGACTGAAGATTTGTATGCAAACTATTGTTATGAATACGATTTAAAAAAATGAAACTTAGGTGGACATTTTTTTCATTCTTCAAATATCATAAGATATATTACGTTTTAAATATTTTATATTTTTTTGAATGTCATAATACATTCTGTAGATTCTTGTATATTTCAATTTTGCATAAAATGAATAAATATTTGCAATCTCTATTTATAAGCATATCTTGTAAATCTCTATGAAAAAAAATTCTATATTTTTTATTTTATATTGTAACAAAAATAATATATGCTCAATTATCATAATTTTCATAGGCTTAATTATTACGAAATTATGCTTGTTTATTTTTAGAATTTCTTTCAAGAAGTGAGCTAGATTATTTCAATTAATAATGTATTATTAAAATAAGAAAAAATAAATCTTTATATGTTTTATATTTATAGAATCGTCTTAAATCAAACCGAAGTTCTTCCAATGAAATATGATCATAAATTTGAATGAATTTGAATTAAAAGATGGAGAAATAAGAATAAATAAAAAGAATATTATAAAAATAATATTCAATTTAGACTCCAATGCTCTTCACTTTTATAGTAAACTTTTAAAGTATTTCTATGTAATAATTAATCATAATACTATGTTATAATTTTTAACATTATGAAAATGAAAAATAATAAAGCAATATCAAATCAAGAATTGTATCCAACATTTAATATAAGTCATAATTTTCACTATCATGTAAACTTAAGAAACATAAATTTAAAAAACGAGATTACAGAAAAAAGCAATTTTCAGAATATCATTTTATAGATAATTGTCGCATGTAAATCCAATCATGCATTAAGATACATTTTCAAAAAAAAAATAAGATTCATAGATGACATTTTTCTCGTAAGTTTTACAATTATAATGCAGTGTTAAGTCATTCTATAAAAATAACTGCTATACTCATATTATATATTCATTCTATGATATCAATCTAATAAAGATAATACTATAATACTAACAATTATATAAAAATATTAACATATAATAAAAAACGATTAAGATATACTCAATTAAATATAAAATATAAAAAATAATTACTGTTTTTAAAATTTCCCATAGAAGTTCTCAACTTCTGAATATGTACAAAATTAGTTATATTTGTGTTATATTTTAAATTGTAAATAAAAATACATATTCGTAGCATCACTATCAAAATTAATATTCATATAATTACAATATAAAATTAATAAAATATATAAATTAATGAAATAATTAATTAAACACATATAAATTTAACAACAAATATATCATATCATATAACAAAATATAATATAACGAAGTATATTTTTACATGCGTTTCATATATTTATATTAAAAAACAAATCAAACTATAAATACAAAATAAATAAGATCTATTATTAAATAAGATTTATAATTTTCTAATTCTTTGCATTCTAATAAGTTTCATTCGTCTATTTATATTTTATGTATAATATATTTGTACTTGAAATATAAATGAATATGAAATAGATAATAATTACTAAGTACTTTATATCTTATTTAGTAATCTGATCTTAAAAAAAATTATAAAATCTTATATCTCTGTGTATACTTTTTATATTATATATATTGTATTATATTATATATTGTATACTTTTTATATTATAGATATAGTAACAAAACATTGTTTAAACAAAAATATATTTCTTTTTTTTTTCAATTTAATATTTATAAATTCTATAAATGCATAGTATGATTACATATTTAAATCAAAATAATTCAATTCGTTTACATTTGAATTTATTTTAATTAACATATAGTAGCTATAATGTTAAAAAGTATTCATCCATATCATATTA